TAGAATTTTTTTATCATTTATAAGACCCTGATATGTTCTGAAATACAATTTAAAGCATTTTTGGTTTCGATCATAGTAGGCTATTTTCAAAAAAAAATATCGATTTTATATCTATATTAGCATTCTTTATCATTTATAAGACCTAGATATGTTCTGAAATACAATTTAAAGCATTTTTGGTTTCGATCATAGTAGGCTATTTTCAAAAAAAATATCGATTTTATATCTATATTAGCATTCTTTATCATTTATAATACCTATATATGTTTTAAATTACAATTTAAAGCATTTTTGGTTTCGATCATAGTAGGCTATTTAAAAAAAATATCGATTTTATATTTACATTAGCATTCTTTATCATTTATAATACCTAGATATGTTTTAAAATGCAATTTAAAGCATTTTTGGTTTCCATCATAGTAGGCTATTTTCAAAATAAATATCGATTTCATATCTATATTAGCATTCTTTATCATTTATAATACCAATATATGTTTTAAAATACAATTTAAAGCATTTTTGGTTTCCATCATAGTAGGCTATTTTCAAAAAAAATATCGATTTCATATCTATATTAGCATTCTTTATCATTTATAATACCAATATATGTTTTAAAATACAATTTAAAGCATTTTTGGTTTCCATCATAGTAGGCTATTTTCAAAAAAAATATCGATTTTATATCTATATTAGCATTCTTTATCATTTATAATACCAAAATATGTTTTAAAATACAATTTAAAGCATTTTTGGTTTCCATCATAGTAGGCTATTTTCAAAAAAAATATCGATTTTATATCTATATTAGCATCTTTTATCATTTATAATACCTAGATATGTTTTAAAAATGCATTTTGAAGCATTTTTGGTTTTGATCATAGTAGGCTTTTTTCAAAAAAAATTTCGATTTTATATCTATATTAGCATTCTTTATCATTTATAATACCTAGATATGTTTTAAAATACAATTTAAAGCATTTTTGGTTTCGATCATAGTAGGCTATTTTAAAAAAAAAAATTCGATTTTATATCTATATTAGCATCTTTTATCATTTATAAGACCTAGATATGTTTTAAAAATGCAATTTGAAGCATTTTTGGTTTTGATCATAAGAGGCTTTTTTCAAAAAAAATTTCGATTTTATATATATATTAGCATTCTTTATCATTTATAATACCTAGATATGTTTTAAAATGCAATATAAAGCATTTTTGGTTTTGATCATAGTAGGCTTTTTTCAAAAAAAATTTCGATTTTATATCTATATTAGCATTCTTTATCATTTATAATACCTATTTATGTTTTAAAATACAATTTAAAGCATTTTTGGTTTCAATCATAGTAGGCTATTTTGAAAATAAATATCGATTTTATATCTATATTAGCATTCTTTATCATTTATAATGCCTAGATATGTTTTAAAATGCAATTTAAAGCATTTTTGGTTTTGATCATAGTAGGCTATTTAAAAAAAAATATCGATTTTATATTTACATTAGCATTCTTTATCATTTATAATACCTAGATATGTTTTAAAATGCAATTTAAAGCATAATTAGTTTCCATCATAGTAGTCTATTTTCAAAAAAAATATCGATTTTATATCTATATTAGCATTCTTTATCATTTATAATAACTAGATATGGTTTAAAATGCATTTTGGGTTTCGATCGTAGTAGGCTATTTTCAAAAAAAAATATCGATTTTATATCTATATTAGCATTCTTTATCATTTATAATACCTAGGTTTGTCTTGAAATGCAATTTAAAGCATTTTTGTTTTCTGATCAGTAGGCTATTTTCCAAAAAAAATCAATTTAATATCTTTATTAGCATTCTTTATCATTTATAAGAACTAGATATGTTTTAAAATGCAATTTAAAGCATTTTTGGTTTCCATCATAGTAGGCTATTTTCAAAGAATATATCGATTTTATATCTATATTAGCATTCTTTATCATTTATAATAACTAGATATGGTTTAAAATGCATTTTGGGTTTCGATCGTAGTAGGCTATTTTCAAAAAAAAATATCGATTTTATATCTATATTAGCATTCTTTATCATTTATAATACCTAGGTTTGTCTTGAAATGCAATTTAAAGCATTTTTGTTTTCTGATCAGTAGGCTATTTTCCAAAAAAAATCAATTTAATATCTTTATTAGCATTCTTTATCATTTATAAGAACTAGATATGTTTTAAAATGCAATTTAAAGCATTTTTGGTTTCCATCATAGTAGGCTATTTTCAAAGAATATATCGATTTTATATCTATATTAGCATTCTTTATCATTTATAATAACTAGATATGGTTTAAAATGCATTTTGGGTTTCGATCGTAGTAGGCTATTTTCAAAAAAAATATCGATTTTATATCTATATTAGCATTCTTTATCATTTATAATACCTAGGTATGTCTTGAAATGCAATTTAAAGCATTTTTGGTTTCGATCATAGCACTATGGGGCAAAATTGAAAAAAAGCGGCAATTAAGGAAATTTTTGAACAGTTTTGAACTACGCTTTCAGGGTTATTTTTTCTTGTAGAGGACATCAAAGTTGACTTCTATGAAAAATTTCAGGTTATTTGATGCTGTTTTTACAATTCTATGGCTGTTTGAAGTTGAAAATGAGTGACAATTTTGATTTTTTCACGTCTTATTTAAACTGTCACATCTTTTTAATAGTTAACAATATTAAGAAACGCTTTTCGGTTTCTAATAGTGTCATGTAAGAACTTTGTTTTGATAATGTACAAAATTTGTAATTTTGTAGTTTTGGTACCTGTATGGGAAGAAATGTGTGAAAATTCTATGAAAAATATCAGAGATCGAAGCCGATTTTTTCGGCTTAACTCAACTTTTGAGTTTTTTGATAGAAAAAAGCTATTTAACACACATTTTAAGTATTTAAAATGAACTTTACATGCTTTACTATGATTTTGTGTAATATTTTGTCAGCATTTAGCTATAGTAAGCTCAGAATTTTAAGTTAAACGATTTTAAGCCGAAATTTAAGCCGATCGGCTTGTTATCGACTAAATTGAAATTCTGAGCTTACTTTAGCTACATGCTGACAAAATATTACACAGAATCATAGTAAAGCATGTAAAGTTCATTTTAAATACTTAAAATGGTAGTTAAATGGCTCTTTTCTATCAAAAAAATCAAAAATTGAGTTAAGCCGAAAAAATCGGCTTCGATCTCTGAAAAATATATTCAAGCATGCCGCAAAGATCTTAAATGGCCACTTTTCAGTGATATAAGCACATTGTGTTTTAGCCTCTGTCTTCTAGTTTTCATTCTTCTAGTTTCTTTGGTACTTTTTTGAGATAAATTGATTTAAATAAGTAGTAGAATAATTCAACAAAAAATAAAATATGCGAAGAGTTTTTTTTTAAAAAAGTTCAAAATCTGCCGATATATAGGGTACTTTTCATATCTGACGACTTGTATGGTTTTCGCATCACTCAAACTGCTCTTATTTTTGTGTACCTCAATATTTTTTAATTCTGTTTATTGAAGCTTAAGTCTAGACCTTTCTAAGAATATATAATACTTTGCAGTTCAGTATTATCTTGGTCATGAATTTAGGACTTGTTTGTGAACGACGCTAAACAACAAAAATCTCAAAAACGTCATTTCTAGAAATATCACTTAGAAACAAAATTAGGTATTGTTTTTAGGTTTTTCATGATGATATATGATATTTATGACTATTAAAACCAGTGTTGCATTCTGGCCATTTGTCTGGATCAGATAAATTATGAGACAGAAATTTCTTCATAAAGATCGATTCTACATGAAGATAGAAAATCTAATCTACACAAAGATTATTTCTACATAAAGAATCTGTCTACATAAAGATTCGATGTAGATGTCTACAATTCTACATTTTTCTCTGATGTAGACCTGGAAAAAAGGCAGATTTTGAACTTTTTGAAAAAAATTCTTCGCAATTTGTTTTTAAATATTGTTTGTCATCGAAAAATAACACAAAACTCATTTTTTGTTGTTGTTTCGTAACTTTTATAAGATATTTTATTTTTTGTTGAATTATTCTACTACTTATTTAAATCAATTTATCTCAAAAAAGTACCAAAGAAATTTTGATGTTTATACATTTTTGAAAACTAGAAGACAGAGGCTAAAATACAATGTGCTTATATGACTGAAAAGTGGCCATTTAAGATCTTGGCATGCTTGAATATATTTTTCATAGAATTTTCACACATTTCTTCCCATACTAGTACCAAAACTACAAAATTTCAAGATTTGTACATTATCAAAACAAAGCTCTTACATGACACTATTAGAAACCGAAAAGCGTTTTTTAATATCTTTAACTATTAAAAAGATGTGACAGTTTAAATAAGACGTGAAAAAATCAAAATTTCACTCATTTTCAACTTCAAACAGCCACAGAATTGTAAAAACAGCATCAAATAACCTGAAATTTTTCATAGAAGTCAATTTTGATGTCCTCTACAAGAAAAAATAACCCTGAAAGCGTAGTTCAAAACTGTTCAAAAATTTCCTTAATTGCCGCTTTTTTTCAATTTTGCCCCATAGTGCTTGGATCAAACAATTTTAGTGACATGACGATGTTGGTATGTAAGTGTTTAAATAATTAATCTTATGTATAAATCAATCATCAACCTTTTCATATCAGTCTGCGTTAAATTAAGTACCGCAAATAGATAAAATGAATTAAAGTTTTTTAAATTCCACATTTGATTTCTTCATACAAAATTAATATTGAATATTAGATCTTTTCGGTGTATTTATATATCTTTAAGGTATTATTCTAGAGTTGTATCATGTGACTCTTATTATCTTTGAAAAAATTATAATCAATAATTGAATATGAAAGAAATCAAAATAGACACATGTTTTTAAATTTAAAAAAATCTCATATTTAACATGGGCAGAGGAGATTTTGTTCCGGTTCAAACAAAAAAAAATTTGTTACAACAGGGGCTAGGGGGGGGTCTAAAAAGTCATTTTTTGCGTTATGTAATAAGCGAACGGCCCTGCACGTGTTTAATGTTAAGCATTTACGTAAACAGTAAGTTATTAAATTGTCAAATAGAGATCCCCTATGCTCTTTGAGCAGAGTTTATTAACTCTCAGATGAATATAATCCTCTCTTAATTTGGTGATAAATTCTCAAATATATTGAGACTTCTCAGTATATATTAACAGTTCAAGGTATTGAGTCACATCTTTTAATTCAATTTAACTCATATATTAAGTTTTTAATTATTAAAAAAATTGATGTTAATTTTTGTTTTGAATCTTTTTATGTCTGATTTCGTCAATTTTGTTGCTTTAAAAAATGAAAGAAATATTATTTGAATCAATAAATCTAACAAATTGATAAAGTATAATATTCAAAATAGCTAAATGTTTATGTAAGCTCGTTCTTTTTTTCAATAAGAGATGTAACAAAAGCTTTTGCGTATTAAATTTATTAATTTCTCAAACATCGAGTACTAATAGTTTTGCAACTTAGTAGGAACAAAACTTCTGGTTCCTTGAAATGATAAAAACTTCTATTGATCAATACTTAACTAAAATTGGTAATGTTATCATCTCCGTATGCAAACATTAGTCATACAATCACATATTTTAAATGGAATTCCGCGTCAATAATGAAAAACATTATCAAATTCTATTTAATTAATTAAATTATTTGAAAAAATGTAAAAATGAGAACAAAATATTCCGTGTTAGTTTTAATATTTAAAATTTGGATTGTTACTCAAAAATTCAAATTTACAGGTATAAAAATTCATAACATTTTTTTAAACATGCGACACTTTAATCTGAAACTTTGCTTGATATCAATAGAATCTAATAATCAAGTGCATGAAGCTCCAATAATAGATAAATCTGACTCAATAATAATTGATGTGAATAGAGATGAAACAGTTGAATGCAAAGCTAAAGTGCCGATAACCTGGATCTTTGAGGTATTTTTATATGACATTTGTATACAAAAAAATAAGTTAACTTTTCATTTATTTATTTTAGAGATCTGAAAAACTTTTTGATTCGATTAAAGTTTCACATTCTGAAGATGATGAAGAAAACTATCATAGCTTCTTAGAACTAAATTCAGTTCATGTTAATTTTGTTGGATTTTATTATTGTGTCTTTAATGCATCATTATCAAGTGATGTTACTTTTAATTATCAAGAAAAAATCGGTATCCACAAAGCATCAAGTATTTACGTATATGTAAACGGTATGAAAATCCAAAAATATTTTTTCATTGTTTTGTTTTAAATTTATTTAAAATTATCAGATCCTGAAAATAAACTTTATAGCTCAGATCAGTACTTAATATTTGGAAAACAAAATGAATCACTGATTATTCCTTGTAAACCAACAACACCACAGGTTAAAGTCGAGCTCGTAAGAGATGGCGATGAGGTAAATGAATCTTAAAAATGTTCAAAACGTGTTATAAAAATTGTTTAATCTGTGTGATTCAGGGGCATATTGCTGGTGAATACGATCCAAAACTTGGATTCACGGTTTCCTTTATGGACGATGAAGAAAGTGGATTTTTCGAGTGTCGCTTGGAAGATGATCATGAGATATATAATGAATTTCAAGTGATTATCAATGGACAAGGTTAACAAATTTTGGATATAAAAATACATACTTCCATATTAATTTTAATTTTTAATTTTAAAGAAACGTCAGATTACTTAAAAAAGCCATGGATAATCAGTGATTCTCAGAACATTGCCAAAAATGGAGCTTCTTTTTCATTATCATGTCATGTAGAAATGATTTCAGATGCTCCATATGTAATAGAATTTTTTCTTCCAAATGGAAAAGAAGCAAAAAAAAATCAATTCATAAGGTTATCAGAAATCAAAGTTGATGATGATGACACACGAAAATCACATATAAATTTGACCATTGAAGATGCTTTAGATGAACGAGATCAGGGAAATTATACATGCTCCTTAAAGGATATATATAACAATATTTATTCAACAGTTACAAAAATCACCTTTGTTGATAAACCTGTTGTTCAGCTTAATTCATCAAATCCCATAGTGACAGCAACTAAAGGACAGAAATCAGTAAAATTTCATTTTAATTACTTTATTTACCCAAAACCTAAATTTGAATGGTATGATCCACAAAATAAATTGATCAATATAGATCAAAGTATGCAAAATGATGCAAAATATAGCATATCAATTAGTGAAGATGAAATATCGTTGACAATTAAATATCCTGGAATTGAAAATTATGGCAACTATTCACTTATTGCTTATACTGATGGAGAAAGTTTTGATAAAAAAGTCAAGTTGGTAGTTTCAGGTATGTAAATATATCAGTGTATATTTATTAAAATAATAATAAATTTAATTATTTAGAAAAACCCACGTGTAGAATGCAAGATGTATATATCATGCTAGAAGAAGAAACTCTTATAAAATGTGAATGCATGGCTTATCCAGCAGCAATAATCACATGGTCATTTCAACCCTGTTTAAATCTCACTCTATGGCCAAATTGTGTTGATCGAGATTCTGTAAGTATCAGAGCATTACTATAACTATTAGTTCTATAATACATTCAACTAAACACCAATAAATATGGTAAAATTTCAAAAAAAAAACTCTTTAAACTTAACTTTGAAAAAATAAAAAGACAGTTTGTTTTGTTATTCGACAGGTTGGAACAAAAATCGATGAATATGAAACACAAAACACCCAGTATGCAGAAACAATCCAATCGTCAGAAATCAGGTTTACAGCATCACAGCCTGGTACAATAAAATGCCGAGCTGAAAATGATATTGGAGAGGATGAAATTCAAGCAAAAGTACAAATAGTAGATCTTTCTGCGCCACTTTTAATATCAGGCATTGATGAGAATCAAAATATTGCTATTGGTGATAACGTAACATTGGAATGTGGAGCCATCATTTATAACTATACTGATAAAATTAGATGGTTAAAGAACGAGGAACCTGTAGAAGAAAGAAACGATCTTCATATAAAAGATAGTAATCTTCGATTTTCATATAGAAAATCATTAAGTTTTGATGCAATATTAAAAGAAGATGAAGGCGAATATAAATGCGAAGTCTATGATAAAGAGAACAATGAATTGCATAAAGTGTCCATTGTATTACGTATTTATGAAAATGAACCACCTATGATCATAACTAATTTCAAGCAAAAAAACATAACAGAGTATTCTGGGAATAGTCTTACACTTAAATGTACTACCAGTGGATTTCCAACTCCTAGTCTTAAATGGTAAGTATTTGAAATTGCTTGTGATGTGTCGTAAGATACACACTTATTAATACTAAATTTTTTATGCAGGTTTAAAAACAGAAATCCTTTTGAAATTAAGGAAAATGATACAAGAATATCATTAAAAGACAGTAAAATGACATTAGTAGTTACTGAATTAAAATTGGAAGACACTGGCTACTATGAATGTATTGCAGAAAATCCTTTTGGAAAAGATACGAAAGCAATCGAAATTAGTATAAAATTATCAGATTTTCCTTTTGATTTGAATCTCGTTTTTGTAATTAGCGGTGCAGTTGCTTTTATAATTTTACTTTTATGCATCATCATTTTATGTTTGAAACATCAATGTAAAGGAAACAAATCATCGCAAACAGCAGGTCCTTGAGTAAGAATTTAACTTGAATTGAAATGGACCAGTTCAAAAATAAATTAAATAAATTGTATATTTTGGTTGATAAATTTTCTATGCATGAACATTTTATTTGATTTTTTTCAGCTCGTCACTAGACACATCAGCGTATGAAGCTATTTTTTTGTGTTGGTAAGGGCATTTTTCGAATCACTTTCAAAACTATCACTACTTCACTATTTCGTTGTAAATCAGATTTAACAATGACATTGTTATATTTATATAATGAAAAAAAATGTTAACGATTTCCCCTAGCGAGACTAACTAGCAAATTGCTAATCTTTCTATTCTACTACTTGCAATTTACTAGTTATTATTTAAACAACTTACTATTAGTAAATTACACACCTCAATCTAAAAAATCCCTAAAATGCAGCTACCCTAAAATGCAGATAGTACTGCCAAGATACAGATGATACTGCTAAATTGCAGATGAAATTTATTTTCCCTGCAGATGAAATGCTGTTGCTTTAAAAAATGTATTATGCAGATGTTTTTTAACGTATAAAGTGCAGATAAGATGCTGGCCAAATGTAGATCGTATAATTTTATTAAAATAAAGATGAAATGCTGGTATAATGTAGATAATTTAACGTTGGATATTAATTATTTGGGCCCCGAAGAAAAAAAAATATTTGTGAGTGACGCTGTGGTTTCTTAAATATCTCCGAAACCACAATAGTGACAAATTTCAAAGTTATTAAATCTTGTAGAAAACAAAAATTGCTTTCTTTTTTCATAGAACTTCCTTCCTTAAGTTAAGGAGTTATGTCACATATATATAGATGAGCTCATACAAAGGATACTTGACCTAATGTATACATAAATATGTCGTCAGACAAAATAATAACCCTTAAATTTAAGTCTATCATAAGAAGAGAAAAGAATAAAATGATCATCGTGGATCATTTAAAGTCATTAACACGAATCAAGAAAATAATCATCGAATATTGATGTTTTTTAATAAAATTATACGATCGACATTTAGGCAGCATCTTATCTGCACTTTATACGATAAAAAATCATCTGCATTATACTTTTTTAAACCAACAGCATTTCATCTGCATTTTAGGGAAAATAAATTTCATCTGCACTTTAGCAGTACCACCTGCATCTTGGCAGTACTATCTGCATTTTAGGGATTTTTAGATTGAGGTAAATTACACTTGCTATTTACTAGCAAATTACCGTGTGAAATGTTTGATCAATTCTGCTTAAGTTCGAATCCTACGATTAATCATCGAAAAATGAATTTTATGCGTCATAAAAAATTTTGTTCTAAATTTGGCATTTGCTATATACTTCACAAGAGCGCGCAGAAATCACCTTTATAAACTTGATCCAAATTTGTATGTGACTTTCAATTAATTATTTATATTCCTCAGGTTTGCGTGCGTTCATCAGTGTTCGACTTAATTAAATTAAGTTTTTTATTTTTTCATAGTGTTAGTGTACTTTAATTAATTTTAACAAAGTACACACTAATACTTTTACAATAATTTACACAAATAAGAAAAATCAAAAGAACACGTGCAAATCAACGGTTATATTCATTTAATTTTTTTACAAATTTGCTTGTAAATTACTAGTTAAATTGTAAGCGAATTGACTATTCAATTAGCAAGTGAAAATGCGGGTCTTTGGCGATGATTTGAACTTGGATTTTGACTAGTAAATAGCAAGTAGCAAAATGGAAAGTTAACCATTAAATTACTAGTAAATTTCTGCTAGGGTTCATCATTAAAAATATTTTTACAATCAATTAACGATAAGATTGTAATGTAACAATGGTAATTGTTAATTTTACAATGATCATCATTAGTATAAAATTTTAAATAACTTAAGTATACTTTGTTAATACGAATTTTTGTTAATTAAATAATTTTTCAATACTTTCTATTAATGTTTGACAAAAAGTATAATTAAAATCTTCATTCATTTTCACTATTTATAAAAACCAGAAAAAAAAATCAAGACATATGATGACGATTAAACAGACGACATTGAAACTTAACCAACAAAATTTAATTTCCTTTTTGGATGGGTGACCATTTTTTCCTACAAAAATTTCTTAACAATGATTATTTGTTAAATTTTACAATTTTGTTGTTGTCAAAAAAAATTTACAATGGTCATTGTAAAATTTAACAATTTCATGGTCAACGCTATTTTAATCATGACATTATTAAAATTTTCATACAAAGTTGCAATGGATTGTTACCTTTTTCTATGAGTATAGCCTCACATCTGTCAACAAATATACTGTGCATAACTTTTAAAATAAAGATATATGATTTGCTGCTAATTTTAGTAAAAATGTTACGTATGATTTCTCTATTAAACAAAGTTCCATTGATGGATACTTTTTGAAATTTTCTTGCAAGATATCTTTGCATTTCTTAAAAGAATTGGTAAGTTTGCTACTCGTTTTTAATGATTCGATCAATTCATCATTGATTTTTTTTGCATATTTCATTAGCTTCATATCATTGATAATAAGTTCCTTAAGTGTCGGCCAATCATTAAAGCATGCTTCACAATCGCAATTAAAATTGAAATGCTGATACAATATGTTTTGCCGCCGTTCTCGTCTTTCCATCAAAAAATTGTTCCTTCAAAATAAAATTAAAAATTAAAAACGAATCTTCATACCTGACAAAATAGATTTTAAAGTTTATAAGTACTTGTAACAATCGTATATTTGTGAATCTTTTTCGATTTTACGGCACACGACGAGACACATCTCTCCATCTAAGCAAACTCTTAAAATATTTGGTGTACAACTATGATTGATAAGGCTGGTGAATAAAAACGATCCACTACCTATTGGCTCTTGTAAACTCTTTAAATTTGAATTATCAAATATTTTTGTATCGAGATTTGAGGAGAAAATACCGTGAAAGTTGTGATCCGAAATTTGACAAAGATCTTGAATAAAGTCATGTATAAAGTCCTTATTTTCTACATACATTGAATGAAGTGTTGAATGGTTATTCAAAATAGTTTTTTGATATGCTAATTGGTACTGTTTTGAACTTTTCGATAAGCTCAATAAACATTTAAGTTTCATAATGAGCATATTTTCTACACTTTTAGTGGTTGAAAAATCAAAATCAAAAATGTTTTTTGAATTTTTCTTATTTTCTTCATAAAAATTCTTTAGACAATTTATGCTGTCACCAAACAAAGCCAAACTAATAAAAAATATTCTTAATGACATGTTGACACTGCCAGACTTTAAAATATCAGTTATTACAGGACATTCATACTGGTGGAAGTACTTCATGGCAAATTCATAGCATTCCTGAGAACAGAACATAGCTGCAAATTATTGAAAGTTTTATTAGCTATAAATAAGTTTTGATTAATAGATTTCATACCGTAGCAACAATTTTGGCATGGAATCATATTAAGTCGACTACTTTTCATGCAATTATTGCATCTTTGATAAATATTCAATTCCGATACTTTAACAAATTGTGACTCTGATATTGGAATTGAACAAAATGATTTGTCTACAGCTATGATATCCCCAACAGAAAGATCAGTAGTTGTAATTATGTGTCTTCCATATTTCTTGCTATTTTCTATCTTTAAGCAACTTGCTACAAATGGCAACTTTTTATTCGTCGGTAAAGATAATTTAAAATAGTTTTGAACATATTTTTTGCTTTCATTCCTTGTAAATTCTTCACATTTTAAGCGACGTTGATACAAAATGCTTAAGTTTTCTTTTGGATAGAAATTTTTTTCGGCTAAAACAATGTTGTTTAAAGATTGATCATATAATTTTATCTCAAAATATACAGCAGATCTATTAGCGTATGCTAATCCAAGATTTTCACTTTCACTCTCAGCATAACACAAACTTTGATTATATTTTAATAGTGCTTGGAAGAATTCCCGTTTTTTATAAAAATCATTTCCTTCTTGTCGCAGAAGATTTGATGTTTTATTGGATTTATGCATTATTCTTTTAAAACAATTGATTCAACTGATTAGATAAAAAAAAAATCACCTTGTTTTTTCCTCAAGCCTACTTCAATCTCCTTTTTTTTCGCAATCTGTTCTAAATTTAACTTTGTATTTATATTACTTCTTTTTTCATTAGTAAAATGCATAACGGAACGTATATATTCGAGTAAGGGAATCGCAACAAAGAAATTTATATGTGGCAATGAAAAAAAATAGAGAATTTTTTTGTTTTGTTAAACAGTTGTGAATTTTTTTTTTTCATATTGTATAGTATAATTAAGTAATAATGGTTTCTATTATTAAAAATCAATTACTTAAACATTTATCTAGGTAAAGTTATATGAAGTTAACAATTTTCAAAATCTGGAATGATCAGCTTGTCAAATAACATTTTTGTTTGATGTTTAAACATAAAAATAATGGAATATTAAGTTTTTTCATTTGACTATGCAATACATAAGCATAAAAGTGAAGTAATCATATTAAAAATCTAAGATTTTTCAATTAGCTTATGATTAAGTTTCATTTTTGGAAAAGTTGATTTTTTCACTTATTGATTTTTCTTCTCATAACCAGATGATTCATATATCTCTTTGTATGAAATTATACAAATCAAAATTTTTGATGATTATATTTATTAAAGATGTCACCATTTTAAAAATCAAAAAACATTTAACTCTAACGGATGATCCTAATAGTTTATTTTGATACATGTCTATCTTGAATAACGTTATAGTTTTCTTCATATTTGACAAGATTCTGTCACTCCAAATAAATTGAACAATTTATATTCAAGATTTTCATTTTAGGTATACAAAAAATCTTTCGAGTGATAAGATAAATATATCAACATTCAAAGGTGAAGGCGAATTGACAAATCTTCAGTTAGATGAGAATGTTTTGACAGAGTTATTGGAACTGCCATCATGGTTGAAACTAACATCAGCTTGGTGCAATCACATTTCTTTCCGAATATCATGGGCAAAGCTAAAAAGTGTGCCTATTACCTTATCGCTGGACGAAGTAAATATATCGGTTGAGACTTGTGAATTGGCACGATCTGGAACGCCAACTTCTAATAATAGCACTATTCAATCATTATCAGTTCCAATGGGAAAATATAGTTTTATTCATAAGGTGATAGATGGCATTACAATTATCGTTAACACTGTGAACGTAAATTTTAAAAGTCCTGCTTTTACTGCTACTGTTCAGGTATAAATTCGTTTTTTTTTTTTAATTTTAACTCTGAATTGTTAAACAATTTTTAAATATTAACCATAGATGTCAAGAATACGCGTTGAATCGCGTACACCAAAATGGTCAGCAGCAGAACTACGTTTCACACGACTGAAAGATCCGATTAAAGGAATCATATTAATTTTTAAGGAACTTTCTTGGCAAACAGTCCGTATAGAGGCAAGTTCGACACAGGATAAAAACTTAACACCATTGAGACTACTTACTAATCAAGCTAAATGTCGTATAACGATTAAGAAAAAGCTCTCAGGTAGAATAAAAAAAATCATAAAAATCCATTTCGTTAATTTTTTTTTAAATTTCACTTTAGATTGCAGCGTATTAGCTTCAAAACTTTTGTTAATCCTTGATGACTTATTATGGGTGCTTACAGACTCGCAATTGAAAGGTACATTTTCTAATCAAAATAAAGTTTTAAAAGTCAATAAATAAATGTTGTCATTTTGTTAATTTTATAGCTGCTCTACATTTCGTGGACTCTCTTGCTGGATTAATACAAGCTTCTAACAAAACCATTCAAAGGAAAAAGGCTCAGAAAAAATTAGAAACTCTTCCAGAATATCAATCATATTTGGATCAATCTTCTAACAGACCACCGGAAAATCAAGCTAATATTTCTCAAGCGCAAAAGATGTTTAATTTATTTGATGTTAGAGAAACATCATATCATTTTTTTAGCCAAAGAATTGATTTACATTTATGTGATGATTTTGGTTCTGGAAGGTCATCACATCCAAATTTAAAGGATGGTGGTGCTGTACAAATATCGATACAAGGTTTTCAAGTTGATTACTATCCATATCATTTAGCAAAAGCAAACCGAGCTCATTGGGCAAAATACAAAGAAGCGAGTGTACCACCTTTAATATGGCTAGAGCAATCAATGAATAGTTTTCGAGAATCACTTTTATCTTTAAGTAATCCGAGTAGACCACCATGTCATGCTCCTTTGGAGCGAACTCCTAATCCAACAAATATGAATGGATATCAATCGGGTACATCAACACCTACACAAACAGCTTCGCCATTGAAAAGACAAGTTCTTGATAATTTAGCAAAACTCATGACATCTTGTGTAATTTTAAGAATTGAGGACTTTACATTGTACCGTGTTACTACATCAGGAAAAAAATCTATGCCAAAAGAATTCGTTTCAGGTAAGAAAGCACACAAGTGTTTTTATATTGCTTTGTAAATTTCACTAAATGCAGCTTGTGAATTTGATGCGCTAATTTCTCACTTATGTGTTTTGTTCAATTTCTGTATTTCTCACCTTGCTTGCAATTTTAAATGTTAAAGCTCAACGTAAAAGAAAAACCAAAACAGGTGAAGGTCGTTCCATACTTTCCCCCAGAAATTTAAAATAACTTGAGTTTTCAAAAAAAAATTATAAAAAAATTATTTCAACTTATTTGCAGGCGATAAAGATAGATTTTCATTCCCACCAGAAATGCCTACCGTTCATGCAGAATTCACATATTTTTATTATCCTGGAGATTTTGTTTTTCCATGTAAGTTAAGTTCTATATAATTTTTTTGAACCTAATGATTGTGTGACTACATATTTCATTTTTCATACAGTACCACCATCAAAATGTTTTGTCTACTTAAATCCAATTCAAGTTCAATTTGATGTCGACAGTTGCTTATGGTTTGTCTCATTCGGTTTGAACTTATATGAATCACTGTTAAGAACAAGCGTAGGCGATTCAATGAATTCGCCAACAACTTCAACAGAGCCGTCATTAATGTATATGGACGTAAAATTAGAAGCTATAATGCCAAGAATTATTTTTGAAGCTGCAAAAGAACTTTCAGTTGTTCAACGCGATAGACCAAAAACAATGCAGGTTCAAGTTTCAAGATTTGCAGTTACAAATATTAGAGAAACGGGTTCTTCTAGAGCTGACCTCGCACAAGCAATACATTCTTTACAAGAAGGAAGCTTAGTTTTTTCGTCTGGGTTTCCCTCAAAACCTGATGACTTATCCATTGTTACCGATAGAATTTTATCTCATATTGCTGCAACAGATATTTCATCAACACAGCCAAATTCACCAAATCTATATTCATTATCTTCAAATCAAATGTCAAGATATGCTCTATGGAATGATACTCGAGATATTTGGTGCATCAAAATTGATCCAATTTGGATTGAATTTCTTGGTGTTCGTTCAATTGGTGTGAATAAAGTCATTCCATTCTTAGATGCTGTTCCAATAACATTATGGATACACGGTAAATCACAAGTAGATGATTCGATTGCAGAAAAAATGGCAGAGCGAGAGAATCCACAACCGATACCATCAAATTCTAAATCAAATGAAATGATTTTGTCAGTTACTTCTCTAAAAACTGAATCCCACATAAATGATGGGTCGCTTTTATTTGATAGTGTACAATCAATCAGATATTCAAATATGCATTATACAGATAGCAACTTTGATGGAAATGCAACAGGTACAACAACAAGTGAATTAAATATGGACAAAAAATCTGCTGATTTACATATTATTGCTCATTTTGGAAATCTGGTTAGTCTACAAATCGATCATTATCAATTCCTTTTTTTAATGAGACTGTTGGAAGATGTTAATGAAGTGACAACATTCCTAACAATAGACAGTAAGAGAATCATGCAAGAAAAAAATCCAGATCATTCCATAATTTTAGGATGTGTAATACCTCAAGTTGAAGTCACCCTTGTAATGCCTAGTCAGACACCCGGAAAAGAATCTAGTGGTGGTGATGGAGAAAGTGTAATACCTGATTCTGTGAGTCTTGGTGATGACTTGCATACAACAAATAGTGGATGGCAACAAGGAAGCTTTTCTCTTGATAACCAAAGTAGAGTAATGCACGCATTTAGTTCAATCGAATCGCCATCACCAAAAGAAAAAGCAGATTATCCTATCGAAACAAAATCCAACATAAAATTTAACATTCCAACTACTGAAAATTCTGCATCATGTATTACAACAACAACTAATACTACAGTGTCTGTTTCAAATACCACAAATACTGCATCATCCTCATCTTCATCCTCAACAGCAACATTAAGAAATAAAAAGATTATTGGAGATTCATCGATTATTCCAAAAGAACTGAACACTGGCTTAAGTCAAATGAAAAAAGGTTTTTCAAATTTTATGACATCAATAGAGTCTGCAGTTAAGACTAATGCATCTTTCGACGATGCAAGTGACACAATTTCGATTCAATCTGATTATTCTGACGATTCGGAACTTTTTACAGTTCTAGCTGACTCAGATAAAACAACCACAGATTGCAATGATTTTATGTTCAAATTAAATCCATTCAGTTCTGATACAAATAGCAAATTGGCACCTATAGAGGTGGCAAGTGAAGTTTGTGAAGATCCATTCATCACTAACATGTCATCTCCGAGCGAGCCATCAGACGCTAGCAGTTTGAGACGTCGAGATTTGGTTTCAATGGCAACATTAAGGTATATTATTGACTTTTAAATCATAGAATTACTAAATTAAAATTTTTATGACAGACTTACAACAGTAGAATTAATTCGTGAAAATAAGGGATCATCTTCAGTGGCGAGAATACAAGTATCGGCGGTATCATTAGAAGAGGTATTGTTTTTATTTTTTTTTTTTTAATTTAAGAAGAAGAAAAAATTATTTAACGACACTATGAAAATTAATGTGCTAATGTTTTTTTAATCCATCTCTACATCACTAGTGCGAATCCTTAGCCTGGGATGAGCTGCAGGTATATTCACATACCAATTTGTCAACAATTTTCTCCCCCTTACCTTTGCCTCATTATACATTTTCTTCCATCTCCCTTAAGATATTTTTATTTTATGATTTTTAGCTCATGAAATATTAATTTCTCTTTCGTTAGATCACATCTGCTTCCATTCATTTCCTATGGTCATAAAATTGTGCTATCTCTGTATATACATACATTCTTTCTTTTGCAATATTCTTGAAGAATAGCAAATTCCTTTTAATATTTCTCTTCTAGATTTTTCGCAGTTTTCATTTATTTTACAACCAAATTATTTTGATCCATTTTGCTAAGAAGCCTTCAATGAAAGCTACTATTTTCCCATTTCATGACTGACCAATTTAAATAATTTTTTTGCTTTCAGTGAGATTTTTCACTTTTATGCCTGAGACTGTGTATTAAAAAATTGTCCGCTCGTCTATCATCTATTTTCCTTCCTTTTCATTTGCTCAAATTGAAAAGAAAAAAAAACTTCTTATAGCGAAAAAGCAATTTGTAATTTTCATGAGCTTTCACTTTTGCTTCAAGCTTCTATCTTTTTCTCTATATTTTCTTCTTTTTTTACTCTCTTACTCTATCTTTATCCCTTATTTGTAATATGAATCTTTAAAAATGTATTTTTTCACTTGTCTCATAACTGTCAATTCACTTTAAAATCACAATTTTTATCTTCATAAACATTCCCACTGAGATATAAAGAATAGAAATTTTATATCGAAATTCACACACATACAATTTATTTGTTTCTTTTCTTATCTCTTTTATATACATTTATATTTGTTCCTTATTGATAAAAGTTCATGCCATTGACATAAGTGTTTCAAGATATTCCTTTCAAGGATTTGGGAAAACAAGTATCAGGTGTCTTGCCATTTCACTTCAAAATTGTCAAAAATAATTTTGGAAAATTTAACATGAACTTTTATCAACGCATAAATTTTTTATCTGAGATAATTAATGATATGAGAAAAATATATCGAGTTGTTAATGTGTTGCATTTTTTGAATTTCTTTTTTTTGCATGCATTCTCTATCTTCTAAAAAATACAATATAAAACATTACAATTTATGCTCTAATCGTCCAAAATGAAAAAAAAAATCTAAATCTACATTGAAATTCACACTAAATTGATGTCTAAAAATGTCAAATTTGACACTCTGATAATAATACACAAAAAATTCAATTGAATGGCATATAAATCAAATATATTTCAAAATCCCAAAAGAACGATCAGCAGAAAAAACAGAAGGTACATATTTATTGTTTAACTTATATTATGTTTAGAAATCCTAGATTAGAAACATAGATTTTAAGAACAAAACAGTTTTCATTAGGAAATTTTGTTACTCGATTACAAACTTCTTCATTTCTTTGGTAAAATAATTTAAGATACTACTTTTTCTGTCTGTTTTCTCTTTGATAACATGACTGTGCATGATTTCACAAATATTTTTTTCACATCGTTCTACAAAAAGATAACATTTCAAATGTTTTTGAAATCACAAAAAAGGTTTAATGATGCTTTGTATCGTGTTTTGTCAATTTGTATTTGTAGTGTGTTTAAATTGGCAAAATTTTCAATTAACTGTTATTTAAAAGTCTAAATTGATACTAACAGTTCATGAATAGTGACTTCTCAAAATTTAAAATTCAGATTTTATGTAAACCAATTCTATACTGCTTTCAATTACTTTTGTTTTCTGCATGGAATATATTTTTCTTTATGTGTGTGTGTGTGTGTGCATTTATGCATTAGCATGTGAGCTGTTCCTTTTATGTCCGTTGTTAATCTTACTTTAAGAAAATTAATTTTTTACAGTTCTTAAAATATTTTAAGAATATAAAATTAAATTTATTTTTTGTTCTTTCAAACTATTTTTTACATAACTATAGGTGAAATTCGGAACAAGATGTAGAGCATGGAATATGGCATCATATAATTCGGAAGCATCACCTTGTTTAGCATTGCGTTTTGAAGAGAATCTAAATTTACCAGATGATTTGGGTAGTACTGTTGATAAAAAGTTGATACCAACTTTTTTCCATCGACAAGTGAATTTGAAAGTAACTGATTTCAAACTCCCTTCCATTCAAATGAGTACAATTATTGGACTTGCTGATTTAACAGAAGATGAAATTATTACTCCTCCGTTTCCAGTAAATATTGAATTGGAAAATGTTAAGATAAATATTATTGAGGATCGACCACCAGTAAATATTACATCACCATCAACACCACAACCCATTAATCTTGTGATTGGAAAAATGAAAATTGTACGTGATTCTTCAGGAGTTTTACAAATTCAACCAGTAAGTTCTAATAATGATTTTATCAATGAAAATATTGGAGACGACATTACATCATTGAAACGGGAACGTGACCGTGAAATATTATCAATTCAATTGATTATGCAGCAAATTAAAATAGAAAACGATCAATTAAGACGACAATTGTTAACGGCTGAGAAAAATGTGGAAGTTAGTCGTCAGAGAATAAAGCAAGAAAACGAGATATTAAAAACTTATCTAAAAGCAGCTCAGGATGATGTTGCTACACTTTTGGATGAGAAAAGAACTCTTATGGATACCATTAAGTCTTTGCAGGTAAATTATAATAATTCATTTGAAAATAATGTTTTGTCATGGTAAACTATAAAAATTATAAATTAACAGAACCAACTGACAGCGATGGAGCCTCGTGACGGAAAAAGATAGTATATAGACTGCATACAATGTTGTGGAGAAGAAAACATTTTTTAAAAAATGTACAAAAATTCTTCATTGTTGTTGGCAATCATGGCATAAAATACGTTTCATCACAAATTATAAAAACTGCAACTCTATCTATTTATTGTAAATTTTCTGCTTTAATATCCATTAGATTCCTGATATTTATAATCCAAGCGATTATGCATGAATGCTTCAGGGGTATTTAAAGACATTACTTCTAAACATTCGTCGTTTTTTTAAACCATTGTGTTTGAATTAAAATTAGATAGGTTCTGAAAAAACTTGCGAATTTAATATTTTGCTAGCTAGTCACATGACGTTGATAACATTTTAATAAAAGTAAATATGTTCTTTTACTAATCATGTTGTATAGTACTATAAAAAATTTCTGACGTCCACTTTACTTTGATTTATTTAAAAATATTTTTATATCAAATTTTAAAGTGCAGTATTTAACTACTGGGAACTCAAAACATATAGGAAGAAATAAAATGTGTCGAAATAATCAAAAATTAGCTAGGAATTAATTGCAAAATGAATGTTAAACTTTAAATATATTTTATCATGCACGAATGATGATTGATAAATATCCAAATATTCTTTATGAAAATTTTAATGTTATTTTCATTTAAAATATGATAAAACATTAAGATTTTAAATTGCAAATCAAGGCTAAAATTATTAATTAATAACTCTATTCATGACTGTGTAAAAATACGAAATTTTAATGTCGTATTAATATTCTAAAAAAAAAAAGTTATTCAGACTAAGTCTTTATATATTCTATTTAATGAGCTTTCATTTAGTTTTATTTCAATGTGATAAATTATAGCTTTCTACGTACATGACAGTTTATTTTGCCATATCTTTAATCATTGAAAAAACTAAAGTTTAGTTGAAAATTCAACCATTTTTATGATATTTTATAAAATTACATTAAGTAAACTGAACAAAAATAAGTAATAAAAGTATATTTCGAAATATCAATTTAACAAGAAAAGTCTTTAATTGATTTGTTTATCTTCAATTTTCAGATTACATTAAATAAATTTGAAATAATAAAAACACGACTTACGTAGAAAACCACGAACTTCAACGCTTGACTTACGTTAGATAACATATTACCAAAATTAACAGATGCTTTCAATGTCTTTATAAGGATACTTTTGAAGGGAGTCTTAGGTATAGAAAGGAGAGTGGACAAGCTGTGCTCCACTTCACTCCGTTCTATAGCTAAGATTCCCATCAAAAGTATCCTTTTACAGACATTGAAAAATTACAAAAATCACAAACTGAATTTTAAGTATAGTAGTCAGAAAAAGATTATTAAATATAAAAACTCTTATATCTTAAGAATATTTTTTTTCTTTTACAAAAGCTACAATATTACCTCAAGAACTTCAAAAAAATTAAACTTTGAGATATTTTAAGTGTAATTTGAAAAATTTCCAAAACCAAAAAATAAATTTTTTGGTGTTTTGAAGGCATAGATGATGTCCAATTGTAAAAGTTTATATATAGAAAAACCCAGCCTTCTAATACACATATTTTGGTACCCTTTGAGATTTTTGAAAATGAGTCCCTCAGGCTGTATTAAAAAAGTTTGTTGTTCGTGAAACTTATAAGATTTGAAGAAAAAAGCAAGAGATTGTAAATTAGCAACTATTTTTTTTAAATGTATTTTGCAAATTTCTTTCTGTCATTTCGGTTTAAAAGGGTGAGAAGAAATGAGATTTGATGTCAATCAATTAATAGTAATTAATTTTGATTCCAATATAAACCGTAAATACGTAGGAAGCCAAAAATTGCGTTTTCTCCATTGTCACATTGTAAGGCTGAAAAACACTTGTTTTTATTTAATCATGATAATGCACTTAAATGAGATGATTTTTTCCTAGTCTTCACGAACGTAAGTATAATTAATTACTCTCTTTGTTCATTCCATGTTTTGATGCAGTGAATGAAACACATTTTAAACAAAAGATAAACTACAAACTCTAGGTCGCATTAAGATTCCGTTTAAAAGTTAATATTTATGCATTTCTAAGTCACGAAAGAATTTCTATTCAGTAATTTTATTTTAAGCTTTCATATCATAAATACCTTAAATTGTTATCATTTGTCAATTTTTTAGATCAATGAATGATTGACTCTGGAAACATGGAGAATTCTGCGTTAACTGAGTTTTCCAAATACTATAGAGAAATCAATATCCATTTTATAAGCAACTGCAAAAGTTTTTGAATCACAAATACATGCAGCTTCAATTTGTTTTTGTTCCGGAAGAGAAAACAAATACTTTTACAATCGTATATCCTTTTGAAGTTAATGGTTGTTAGGTTTATATTTGGAAAACTTAAAACAGCTGAAACATTTTCTTTATTTTCTATCATTTTGTAATGAAAGATTTATTTGTCCAATTTTGAAAGCATAAAAGAAAATCGATGTCAAATTATTTAAGGGAGTTTGATATTACCATGTAGGTCAGCTGACCAGATATTTTTTTTTTTTGTTATAAACTTCGGGAGTTTTTGGCGCAAAAAGTAGTTGTTCAAAAAAAAAAGAAGACAACCCTCTGAAAAGCCAAACAAAATGATCAACTTTTATATTGTATTCAATTTATATCCTCGTACATATTCAAGTATGAGGAAAAATTTAAGTTCAAAATTCTGCTTTTGAAATCTTTGAACATTTATTTAAATTTTTCACATCACATCCAATATGCAGTTAGCAACTGCTTTCAACACCGTTTTGTTCGCTAAATTGCCTCTACTTCATCATTTACTTTATCCGGGTATGTATGTAAAGTACAATGCATTTTTATATGACGAGTCAGCATGATTTTAAGGTATCAGTAGAAGCAATTGAAATGTGATTTATTAATATGCCGAAGCACACTTCTAGATAATAATGCATATCCCCACAATACCGTATTAAGACTTTTCTCAAAAATTTTCCTATATAAACGAAAAAAAGGCAAGAAACGAAAAAAATCTGTGCAATATTTTATCACAGCTTGCTCTTTTCACATTTTACACATTCGTAAAAGAAAAAAAAAATCGAAACTCTTTACACTTCTCAGATATATTATATATCTATACAGTCATATGAGAATATATGAAATTTTAGAAAATTTTTGCATGTGAAAGAATTAAATTGTTCTCATTCCCTCTTATGCTGTTGGAACATTTTCACATATGAAATAACTTTAGTTTGTTATGCAAAAATTTTATGCATGAATGTTTCATTTATGCCTCTTGTGCCGCATTTGAATTGCTGTATAAAAATTAATGAAAATTAGAAGTGAATGAAAATTTATGATCCAGAAAAACTTAAAATTCTTTTTGTGGTAAAATATATTATTTTTATTTGATTTTTATTTTCATCTTCATTACTCTATTATATGTACTTACTTGTTCTGTCCATTTGACTTTTCTTTTTACGGTGCCAAAATATTATCAAAGATCGTATATCGAGTAGAAACCAAATGTGGAAATATTCACACCGTACGTGAATTTTATAAAGTACTTTATATTTTTTTTTAAACCACGTTTTTCTCGTGTTATTAATTTTTCTTATGGGTTGTAATGAAATCGGTTTTAAACTTTCAGATTATTTTTGAAAAAAAATTTTAACTAGTGAATATCGTTCACAAAATCGAATAAGTACACCTTGATCTTATCGAATAACTCAACAAATTAAAAACGTGGGAGCTTATCCTACATAAGTTAAATTTATCATAGAGTATTGTGTTTGCAAAAATTCCAGCTCTCAAGTGAAGAAATTTCGAATGGATAGGATTTTTTTGACTGAGGCATTATTTGCTAACATTAAGCACAAACATATTTCGGCAAAAAAAATCAGAAGTCTCTACAATGCCTCGTTATTGAAATTTATTGCTGATTAAGTTGTTGGTTTGCTTGTTTGCTTCCAGGAAGTATATTTTGCGTTTTTCTCAGTAATGCCTCAACCAAGTGAATTTTGTTTTTAGCAAAAGATGTAATATTTCAAGTAAAAATTTTCTTATTTTAATATTTTCAGCTATAAAGCTTCGTTTTCTCACAACAGGCGCGTAGCCAGATTGATTGCCCTCTTAAATTTCATTTCCAACAAAATCAATAAAAACGGTGTGAATATAAAATTTTCAGATTTTATTTTATTATTGAATGAAGAAAAAAAAATGGGTTCGTGTATTCTTGGGAATGAATATAATGGAAGTTGCATGTTTGATATTCGAAAGAACAAGAAAATAATATTCTTTATATATTCTGGGATATCTTCATTGAGCATACTGTAAACTACTAAGAAAACATTCAGGAATCTTTTGTTGCATGCTTAACAACTGATACCGTTGAATCTGATAACTTTGTGCAAAAAATTTATTGCTATAAAAAAGTCTTCTGAAAAGCTAAATGACTGATTTTATTTGATAAATAACACGTTGAATAATTGAATGTTTCAATAATTTTCTAAAATAATGAAACACTTGAACATTCTTGCACCTCAAATCTTTCTCAACACGAATACACGAATAATAAAAAAGAAGAAAAGAAACTTATTCGAACTTGAGAACTATGAGAAAATTGAATTTTTCTCCTTTCAACTGTTGGTAACATTCAATTATTGTTTCTATTATCTAAAGCCATAAAAAGAAATGAAGCAATGATGCAGAAAATTGAAAATGGATTTTCCTATTGTAATATTTTATTGTTTAAAATTTATTCACGATTACAGAATTTCATGTTGGTTTCGATTTACAAAAAGTAACTGGATGTAAAATGATCACATCCTGAAAAATAATAACTTGAATTATTTGGTAAAGTTTACAAGTAAGCTTCAGTTCACTGCAATTTATAAAAGTCTTTTTGAACTTTTCCCTCACGTTGAAATTGAAAAAAAATAATAGAAAATTACATAATTTTCTCTTGTCATTTTTTAATAGAAAATATGAGATTTACTTTTAGCATAAATACTAATATTAAATGCAATAAATGTTATTAGTGATAAAAGTGTTTCATATTGAATAATTTTTCGTTCAAAAGTCAAATAAAATATTCATATTTTTTCATATCCGGGAAAGTGACACTTGGCGTATATTATTGTATATTATTCAACTTTGAAATAAAAGAGATTTTTTTAGAACAAAGATATTTACTTTTATAAGCCACAGAAGAAACATTTTGCTGAAAAAAAACATATCTCAAAAAACTGATATATTCAAAACGAATAAAAAAAATAAATACAGCTTCAATTTTACTCTCGATTTCCTAAATGCCGTAGGAATGAATGTATATAGTATCATTCTAAATCTGTTTATTTGTTTTTATTTGAATTACGTTGCCAAAAGCAACATATCTCTCAAGCACTTACGTTCCCGTGATATGGTTTGAAT